TACAAATTAATGAATTTAACAATAACGTTACTAATGGTCAACTATCAACAATGTTACTGGTAATACTCATCAAATCTCTTCATCAAACTTAATTTAATTATTCTTTTTATTTGCAGTGAAAGTTGTGGATGAAGATCATGGCGGTAAGTGACGTGAAATAAAAATATATTAAAAATATGCCAGACTTTGAATGTTAAAATTCTTAGAAACCGTAAAAAAATATTATATAAGATTTTTCGCGTTTCGTTAATAATTAACTACTAAAATAAGATATATTCAATAAATAAATACTCATTTAAAATGTACGCAAGTACATAAATAAAAATATAATATAAAAATAAACGTCAAGCAAGCAAGGCCTCATCCAATATTGATTCTTCTCTAACCCTTTGACCTTTAACATCTTCAATTTGTTGTCTAAATTAGTTGCTCCTATAATACTAGAAAGATCTAAAATTTATCAGTTCTGAAATAATTTACTTTAGGTACGAAAACATTAAAAAGTTACAGAAATAGTTCCAATAGTTTTCGTGTGATGCTCAAGCGAAAGAACAAACAAACCACACAACAAATTTTAGAATAATAATATGTATTTTTATTACTGTGTCATGAATTTACATAATAACTCACAAAAATAGCGATTGAGTGATTGATTTAACTTAAAAAATATGTGGTGTCGTGGAACACCAGGTAGGAACGAAGTTCTTTCGGCTAATGTAGAATCGACACAATTTGCAAAAAATAAACGTGGCTATTCACGAGTAAAATGTATCTATAATGTGAGTATTCGCCACGTGCTTGTCCATGAATTCATGAGTATATAATATGCATTGGCGGGGTGGAGTGGTAATAGAGAGAGAAGGGATGAGAGAACGAAAAGAAAGAAGGAGAAAGAGAAAGGTATTATACACTACTCGCTTGTGTATACGACTGTCGCGCCTGCGCACGTCTCATTTAACGGTTTTATTCCACGGACTTTTTCTTACGGTTTTACTATCACATTTTTTTCAGTTCGGTCGCGCAGCAAAATCCCTANAGAGAACGAAAAGAAAGAAGGAGAAAGAGAAAGGTATTATACACTACTCGCTTGTGTATACGACTGTCGCGCCTGCGCACGTCTCATTTAACGGTTTTATTCCACGGACTTTTTCTTACGGTTTTACTATCACATTTTTTTCAGTTCGGTCGCGCAGCAAAATCCCTATCTCCTCCAAGCCTGCCGTAAGGAACTTCGTTCCAATAATTTACTCAAAATTCCCTAGACCTATATTTTAATTTAATATGTTATTGATCGTCTCACAAGCCCCAATAAATAGTTTTATTCGAAACATTTCAATAAAGTAAATTGTTTTTTTTGTTTGTTTTCAGTTAACATTGTTGACGGCGAACGTAAGTTATACATAATATTCTTTTAAAACATTTCTTTTCTTACGAATTGTTAATTGATATTTTTATTTCAGCCGGTGGCCAGTACCGTGATGGCGGCGAAAAGTAAAGATATGTAATCTTATAAATGTGAGCGAAATGTTAATTTAATACTATAATAAATAATAAATCATGTAAACACTTTTGGTTGTTTTATTTATCCTATTCTCACAGTTTTATAATGGTGGATAAAAACTCGTAGAATCCGAGTGAAGTTATCATTTGTTACTTTTTTGGAACGAAGTTCCTTACGGCAGGCTTGGAGGGGATAGGGATTTTGCTGCGCGACCGAACTGAAAAAAATGTGATAGTAAAACCGTAAGAAAAAATCCGCGGAAAAAAGTGCGTGGAATAAAACCGTTAAATAAGACGTGCGCAGGCGCGACAGTCGCATACACAAGCGAGTAGTGTATAATACCTTTCTCTTTCTCCTTCTTTCTTTTCGTTCTCCAATCCCTTCTCTCTCTATTTAGTAATTATTTCTATTTCTATGTAATTTTATGTTGTCAACCAAAAATAAAGAGATATATTTTGTTATTTTAATTGATAATTTGAATTACTATTTTTTTTATTTTACATAATTTATTATTTCTTAAAATACTGAATTTCCTAAATACTTTCCCGTACTTAAATAAAAACTAATCAGCAAAATTTAAGAGAAAAACCAAGAAAACCTACATAAAATTGAGCACCATTTCTTTTTTTGCAAATTGTGTCGATTCTACATTAGCCGAAGGAACTTCGTTCCTACCTGGTGTCCCACGACACCACATACTTAATTTTTTTAAATACTTGAGGCTTATAGACAAACAATCGAAAAAATATCGGCATACAAATTGAGGGGCATCGAACCGCTACAGTGATATAGAAAGGGAAAGAATAAACCACGCGTCTTTTATTTCTAATGTCAAGCCAAACAAAATTACACCTTATGACCTAAACATATGTATTCTAAACAGTCACAATCTCGTTGTTAATCGACTTCAAGAATAGGCGGAGGTTCTCAGTTGGATTGTATTTTATTATGCGTATAAGCTCAGATAGATAGATAGCTTTTCTAGATAAATCGATTCTGACGATTTATGTTTTTTATTAACTTGAAAGCTGGTGCTCTCATGCGGTAAAGTTTAACTTTTATCCGTATCTGCTTATTTAAATGCAATTCATATTTAATTGATTTTGATTACATTGACGAAATTCTCATTATATTTTGATGNTTGGATTGTATTTTATTATGCGTATAAGCTCAGATAGATAGATAGCTTTTCTAGATAAATCGATTCTGACGATTTATGTTTTTTATTAACTTGAAAGCTGGTGCTCTCATGCGGTAAAGTTTAACTTTTATCCGTATCTGCTTATTTAAATGCAATTCATATTTAATTGATTTTGATTACATTGACGAAATTCTCATTATATTTTGATGAAGTCCATTTTTTTTGTTAAAATTGTGTATTACTACTACGTGATTACTACGTGAAGCAGTAATGCGATTCGGTTTGAAAGGTGGGCCAGCCGTTGTACTGTAAAAACTGATGAGATCTTACAACTCATGTCTCGAGGTTCGTGGCGGCATTTATGTTGCAGATGTCTATGGGCTCCGGTTACCACTTAACACCAGGTAGTCTGTGAACTCGTCCACCCAACTATAATATAAAAAAAACATGAACTCGTGGCTTCTACTCAATACCAAATGCGCATATTAACATGCAGTAATGGATAAAAAACAGCAGCCGTCCTCGAGGTAGCACACCGAGTCTGATTATAGGGTTGACCCCACTACTCTATCCTGGTTCTGACCCCTGAAAGAGATCAGACGTCGGGTGAAAGAGTCCAAGGGAAGTCGTTTGGTGGATAGCGCCCTAAAATATCCTTGGACTCGGAGTCCGCTCCCAAATTCTGTGGACCGTCAACACCCACATACCCGCACGCCCCTTGGCGCAAAAAATTCATGCATTAGGCTCGGCTTCCTGTCCGAAATAAACATACTATAAACTAACTACCTTTAAGCGATATTTTATTAAAATACGTTCAAAAAATTTTGCGTCTTTGGGTAAGAAACATTCAATGTTTCACATTTAAAATATTAAATAGTCTAAATTGGCACGAATAGACCAACTATCAGAGCTGGTGTCGAGCGTTTATCGATTTTAAGATATCGGGCTGAAGTTGTAATTACATCAAAGTAACACTTACTTGCAGCCTACTTTAGGGTACGTGTTTGTGGTTGCTTATGCGTTAAGATTCTAACTTAAAGAGAACATTTTTTACCGAGCGGAATGTAGCTTACATAATTATTGTAATCAAAGTTTGTCGGGTTTTGAAACTAAATATGAAAGTTTAAAGTAAAGATCAGTAACCTGAGATATGCGGACGACACCACAATCTTTGTATCTTCGGAGAGGGAGCTCGCCGTTCTATTCAGCAGAATGGAGCATTAGAGCAGGCTAGTGGGACTCACTGTCAATAGGTCCAAAACAAAAGTCATGCTTATTGATAGGGCCAGACAACTCATTAGGACAGGCGAACTCTCGAACGTAGAATTTGTTGGAGAGTTTATCTACCTCGGATCTGTACTTACTGATCAGAGAGGAAGCGAACGGAAGATCAAGAGAAGGACTCAAATGGCCAAAGCTGCGATAAGCAAGCTTACACGTATTTGGCAGGACAGAAAAGTCTCCAATGCTACCAAGATGAGACTAGTCCGGACGTTGGTTTTCTCGATTTTCCTCTATGGTGCAGAGTCGTAGACGATTCGAACAACAGAGCGGAAAAAAATAGAAGAGTTCGAGATGTGGTGTTGGCGAAGAATGCTCCGCATGCCGTGGACCGCCAACAGAACAAACAAATCTGTCCTCGAGCAACTTCGTATAGAAACGAGACTGTCGACGATTTGCTACCGGAAGGTTCTTGGTTACTTTGGTCATATTGCTCGGCGGCCACCAGACAACCTTGAAAGATTGATTGTGGTGGGCAAGGTAGAAGGGAAAAGACCCGCCGGCCGACCACCAAACCGTTGGTCGGATCAGATAACTGCGCTCACTGGACTCTCTGTTGCGAACGCCCTGAGAGAAGCCGAAAACCGAAGCAAATGGACGCTGAGGGTACAAAGAGCCACGAAGGGCTTTCAAGGACACGACCTTCAGTAATGAAGTATTCGACTAAGAAGAAGAAAGATGAAGGCTTAATAGTGCTAGTGCCGTGATTTATGGCAGACTGGAGATTTATAACAAGTAGCACTTTGGAGCAAAAGACGATAATACCAACCCGAAAAAATTGTACTTTTTTCAACTAATTTGAAAGCTTCTGGGGCTTTCCTAAAATATGCTTATTAATATGATGTTAAATTCACAAGACGCTTGTTACTACAGTGAGCTACCTAATCCAACAAAGATTCTAATTATTGTCCAAATTAACAAGTCAAGGACTTTACAGGGATCATTCAATAATATCCCATTGTGCTCATTGAAGCGACTTGAATCAGTCCCAATGACATCACACACTAAAGAGATACAAGTTTGAACTGACACTAATTGAATACGACGCTAGTGGACCGATTCGCAGCGCCGAGTGCCGACTGTTCCAATATAACCTCGTTTGCAGCACTCGTCTCACACACGCTGTTATAAAAAATATTGAATAAAAATGAGTGTTTATATCGGTGGTTTTATATGCGCTCTTGTATTGGTAAGTTATGAGAATTTTTATGCTTAAAATTTGTTATTCGGTGAAAGGTCAGTTGTTATACGGGTCCGCTTACAACGAAGATGCGTCACTTCTTTACTAATTTTGCTGATCGATCGCTTAATTTACGGCAAGAAGTGATTTAATACTTAATTTAACAAGATTCCGTAGATAAGTTAAATTAGCGTGCCGTTTCTTTCAGGCCGCACTGGTCATCGTTTGGATAGCCTACTGCATGTTCATAAGGGAACGTGCGAAGTCAGAAGACCTTCAATACACAATATCGGACATACAGCATAGGAACTATCTGTTCTCTCAAGAGCAAGAAACTCCGGTGAAAGAGAAGAAACTAACTGCGGGGATTTTCGTGTTGCCTTCGCGCCATAAGCAAACCGAGGACGATTACCGCAACAGACCGGATTACCCTGAGAGTCCGCTGCCGATATCACAGCCGAGCACAGAGAAATTAATAGAAATCCTTAATGAGGATCCTAATGTTCATTACATGGACGGTATATGCGAAGGCAACTCTATAACGCCATATCACAGCGATGTATAATGAAGCAATTAATATAACAACTCACACAATGGCACATGAATTGTACTTGTTATCTACACCTTCCGAGATTATTACGTCTGAAATGTACTTTTAAAACGTTTTTAATAAAATAATAAAAATTACAAACAAAAATCGTTTAATTATTTTATTCATTAAATCAATAGATATTAATTATATGCGATTGAGCAATTTAAAAAAATATATGATTCATTCATTAAATTCAAACTATTGCTACAGACAAGGAAAAATGTGTGGTTTATACATGTTTATACCTAATACAAAGATATCGAGATTGAAAGAATGACTACCATTAAACATTCTTGAATATTAAACGTAGGTAAATTCAGTAAAACATTAAACTAAAAGACAATAAAATACGATAAATATAATAATAATATTAAACACATTCAAACTGTCACATGAGACAACAGCCTTAAAATATCATCGCGGGGGAAGAATGTGTACGGAAACAATTATTACCATGTATTTTGATCTAAAATATGTTTGTTTCGATTAATTAATAAAATTTGGTGATCCCAACGACACAATTCATCCACAACGATATTGCTGTTGTAATTATTAGGTGTTGATATCAATGAAACCGGTTATTGCGTCAAGCTCTTAACACTATCTGCCATTTTATCGATGACACTCTTTTCTGTTGGCTTGAATACGTGAACGACCGCATCGCCAGCATCGCTTAGGGTCTTCACGACTTCGTTCCAAGCATTCTTCATGGATTCCATGACATCACGTTTCTCTATATTCCTCGTTTCTGATGGAAAAGCTGCTGCCACAACAGCGATATACTGGAAATATACAATATAGATTTTCGCAGAAACTACCTGCCTTTATTACTATCTCAAAACAATTCTGCATCAGTTTCTAGCTTGACTAATTTATACTAATATTATAAAGAGGAAAGATTTATTTGTTTGTTTGTATTGAATAGGCTCCGAAATTACTGAACCGATTTGAAAAATTCTTTCACTGTTTGGAAGCTACACTATTCCAGAGTGACATAGGCTATAATATTTTTTGAAAAAAATTAGGGATCCTTACTAAAACTCCAATAATGTAAAAAAATTACCTAAAATATTCTTTACATCGCGTGCCCTGCGAAAACTATTGATGATAGAATAAAATAATGTACTACGACTTTGTAGAACACATTATTATTTACAAAAAGTTTCACAACAGCATATGTTTAACTATATATATAGTTATGCCGCAATAAGTGTCCTTTTATTTTAAAAAATAAAACAACGTCATTGAAATTTTTGTTAAAGACCCGAGCAGAGCCCGAGCGAGCCGCTAGTATAACAATAAAATTCATACTTCGATGATAACGCTAGACCTCACACATCTTTAGCCACTCAGCAAACATAAAAGAGTTTGGCTGGGTAGTTGTAACGCATCCTATAGTCATGGTCGTGACCTTGCACCTNTGTCCTTTTATTTTAAAAAATAAAACAACGTCATTGAAATTTTTGTTAAAGACCCGAGCAGAGCCCGAGCGAGCCGCTAGTATAACAATAAAATTCATACTTCGATGATAACGCTAGACCTCACACATCTTTAGCCACTCAGCAAACATAAAAGAGTTTGGCTGGGTAGTTGTAACGCATCCTATAGTCATGGTCGTGACCTTGCACCTTCAGATTTCCACCTGTTTCGGTCCTTCCGAATTATTTAGGCAGTGTCAGGTTAACATCACAAGAGGACTGCCAAAACCAATTGTCGCGGTATTTTGATCAGAAGCCCCAAAATTTCTATAGCAATGGGATCATGTCACTACCTACAAGATGACAAAAAGTTATCGAACAAAATGGTACCTACATATTTTAGTCAAATGTAAATAACCTATATTGAAAAATGTTGTGATTTTTTTTAAAAAATGCGAAGAAACTTTTTCCCCAACCTAGTATTTTGTTACTCGAATCGAATATATTAAGTAGGAATTTAAAATTTGCATACCCATATCACGATTGATTTCATTACAGCACCAAATAAACGCTAATCTCTACCATAATAAGCCTTGCTTAGAAGCGAAGAAGAAGAAGAGAAGGAAATTAAAATAACCCTTTTAAAACGCTAGGACAGAGTTTCAATTAGACTAAAAAAAATCTTGACATCATAAATAGTGACTGCTTCGCAAGAGAAATAATCAGGGCGCTTGTAGCGGTCCTGATGAAGAGGCAAAACCCTTCGAGCCGCCAACAAGCCCATCAGTCGAGAATAAAAGCGGTGACATCAACATTATCAACATTAATGCAATTTCAATATGACGAGAGCTCTCTTTTTTTTAGCCTATGCTGATAGCCTTGAGAGGCTGTATCAGCGTCAGCCTAGCGTGTAGGTGAGCTCTCGGGGCTCAAACCGGAGATGTTGATAGCAAGAGCAGTGCTTCAAAGAATCTACCACCGGATCGAAAACGCGACCCACTGAGAAGATCCAGCGAGAAACTCAGTGGGCTATGACTGTGGGTTAGAGCTCTCCAAACACTAGTCGAAAAAGCACGATGGTGCTAAATTTAATGATTATCAACAATACTCTTATAAATAATACTGTTTAGTTTTTGATAAAAAAAATACTTTTAAGTTTTAATCTAACTTTTATTATTTTTTATTTAAAAATTTTTACGTTTCTAATTGGTTCTTTATATTAATAATGGGCACTGGATGTATGCATGCAGCCCATGTCAGCTCCCAATTCAGAGCGTTAGGTCAGGTTTCATTCCATTATACGATACTTTTATTTCCTATTCAATTTTATCCAGATGTAAGCTTAGTACGTACATATATACATAGAAAAAATAATACCGTACAGAAACCGGTCTGGGACACCGGTTCTGTATCCGGTACATTTTTCAGTAATACAAGGCTCTTATTTAAATAAAAGGTATTATTAATATAAAGCTACATCGTGCATTTTATATAGATACTAAATTTCTTCAAATGGGCAGCTTTGTCTAAAAAAATACCTATATCTACATACTAAAAACATATCTTCCTATCATATTATCATGAAGTACATCGTAAAACGAAATCTGATTTGAGAGAACACCTTTCTGAACTAAACCTATAGCCTAATTCATAATTTAACAAAATGATTAGATACTTACAAGACAACAGAGAAGTAGCAATCTAAAATCCATTTCAACAGAAACAATTAGCGTGACAACGGCTCCAAAAAAGATAGGCTTTGGAAAATGTAGACTAATGTCTGGACAGTTTGAACTTCTGTCTCCTACTGGACAAGGGGACACAAAGGAACGACAGGAAGGCATTATTTTAGTTCGGCCACGCACATATGACGAATCAGCCGAGGATACGAAATTACCGGGGACAATGAATAATGAAACGTCAGGGCTGTGCTGACATTGTACTCAATAATATTTATAGTCTCATTTATAATACTCACACAGTGCTATTAATTTCTAAGGATGTACTGAAAAACTTTAATTTAAATTTTTATATATTTAATCGAAAATCAAAATATCATAATATCCGTGTAAGTAACAGTAACATTTTTCATATTGTTTTCTGTTATTTTTGTAGCAAATGACATGAGAGTGAAGCGAACTTTTTCAATTACTAGAAACACTATAATTTTTTTTTTAAATAAATTCTCATATCCATTATAATATAAAAAAAATACAGATACCTACGTCATTATTTTTTGTTTAGGACACGTCTGTAGTTTTTTATAGTTATATATACATCAGTACTATATTATTAACAATTTCCAAGAACTATGTAGTGATTCTGCTAAATCCAAATACATGTTTTTCCGCAAAACCTTAATAAATTAGTATTGTGTTAACGTGAGTATTGAATGTATTGCCCATGCACGATTTGCTGAGTAAGCTGACCAAATCGAACAATATTCGTTGGAGAATGACACGAAATACTGTGACCCTAATTTTAAGTAAATTACAACAAAATTAAAAATTTGCGAAATTTATAAATTCCAATTTTTGTTGGTTTACTTGGTTAAATGAGCGGTTACCAGATGCATTAAGTACAATAATATCAAATATACCTTACACCTTAAAAAGCGTGGTTTAAGTTTCAATTTCAATGGAATTCTTTATTTTGTTGCGACTGCAACACGTGGAATGGTGTTAGTAACCAATGCAGAGTCAACTTTCACTGAAATGTTCTTTTGCATTGCACAATAACGAAGCAGGCAACAATAACAAAGTCATTAAAAATGCATGAGGAAATATATTGATGTATTCCCAAGATCAAGCACATAACGTGATACTAAGAAAAAGGGAACGAACTCATTGCCGATGGCCCTAATTTGAAAAGTGACTATTTTTGATACTATTTTTTTAATACCTTTTAACAAGATCCCACAAAACTAACTTAAAGCAAAGATGCAAGGATCGTCTGTGCAGTAATTTGTAACACACAAATCAAACGATAATTTACAAGTAAAATGAAATTTAAGAATGCATATAATAAAGACAAAAAGTCTGAGTTTGTTTCGCCCCCTCTTTCCAGAACTGTGGTTCATTCTGGAAACAGTTATGGAGTTTATATTAGCATTCAATGGTAACCTGATAAATGAAATCCATTTTTAAATCAATAACTGAAATTTTATTTAAAAACAATTAAAATTCTCTTTAAATCGAAACGTCAATAATTGGCTATAAAAAAATATGACACAATTTTACAAAGCTACAAATTTTTCTTTCAAGAAATTCCAATTAAATTAGTAATACTAATGATCAAATCACTAATGATCATCATATATTATTATAGTGTCTTTAATGTTAAATATAAAGCTACAAAAACGCAAACGCACACACTAAGTCAAATCAATCAAGAATATATCGGCGCTATTTTTGGTCACCGCGTGAATTGGGTAATGGGCCTTCACCGGCGGAGGTGACAACTGTACTTCAATTCAACAATAACAAAATGATTATGGGAACTGATTTATGTACCCTTATATGTATATATTAATACGTGAAGGACAAACTTTGTATCCCTTTTTACGAAAATTGCGCGGACGGAGGAGTATGAAATTTTCCTCACTTAAAGAGAATATAGATAAGGAGTGCAGAATGTTAATATTTTTTTTAAATTATGTGTAAAAAAAATCATTGTGCAATCTACCATGCATTTGACGCACACACGCATGCATACTATAGGTATTTATTTATTGTCCAACTTTTGTTCTTGACGTCCATGGTAAAATTGAGATTAAATTAAATATTGTTTGTCTTTATTAATATTTTTCTATAGCGTAGTCTTGGCGAAATTTGTGATTATAGAAGTATAATAGTCTTTGAAAATAGAATCATAATAGTGTAAAAACTTACAATTTCAAATAATTATAGTCGAATTTTGACTACTGCGGGACCACTAGTACTATACTGGTTTAATGTAGCTATAGTTTGAGCATTGGCACAACGAAAATAGCTGATTCAATAAATAATATGTAGTATTTAATTAGCGATAGTATTGAATTCTTATAAAAATATTTCAAACGATAAATTTAATTATTATACAAGATATAAAACCATTTTTATTGTAATTCTCTTAACATGGAAACTTTCGTGGATGTAAACAATTACGTAATTTTTATACTTTTAACCTCAACCTCTTCGGTCTCATCCTAATAACCCTATACCTATCTGGCAGCCATGGAATACAAATCTAAAATATTGAAAACGCTACACTAACGTCTTACTGGCCATTGTAATATAAGAAGTGATGTATAAAATACATAAGCTATAATAAGTTTTATAAATGACACATTCCTTTCCTTCTCCACTAATTATCGATTATTTCAATAACATTTTTTTTTAAAGAGTTTACACTAAATCATTATTTGCCTTTTTTAGTTCCATTTAACTTAATCAAATCCTAAATTACTCTGGAGCCACCTTCCAGCCTTGCTGAAGACGGACTTCATGCTCGTTCCAGCATTCTGAGCAGTCGACACTACTTTACTGCCAAACTCCTTCATGGTGTCAAGAAAACCTCTCCACGTCTGTCGTTTTCTTCGTTCAGAGGCTGAATCGACCGGGAATATTACTTGCAAGAAGATAACCTAATGAACAATTACATCTATATATTAAATACGTGAAGCAAAAACGTTGTACCTCTTTTTACGAAAATTGAGTGGACGGAGGAGTATAAAATTTTCCACACGTATAGAGAATGTATAGAAGGAGTGCAGAATGTTAATATATTTTTTTAAATTACGCATAAAAATACATTAAATCAATAAAAAAAAACATTACACACACTACCATTTTTTTTGAAACACACACGCATGCATACTATTTGTTTACTGTCAAGCTTTTCATAATGCTGCGGTCCAATTGAAAATAGATTAAATATTGTTTATCTTTATTAATATTTGTCTAAAGTGTAGTTTTGGCGAAATCTGTGAATAAAGAAGTATGATAGTATTTGACAAAAGAATCACAATAGTGTACAAACTTATAACTTCAATTAATTATAGTCGAATTCCGACTACCGGAGGACTAATAGTTTTTTTTAATAGTCAAGAAAAACTTTTTTAACTTAAGTTATTTATTTATGTTTTTTAAGGCTCCGCATTGCGTTTATTAAATACGGACGATGAAAAAATAAGAAAATTAATGCGGACAAAGCTATGTGCTTCTAAAGAGGTAAAAATAATTCTCGATATAATGTTTAAAAACTTTTAAAAAAAACAATGAAATTCGTTTTGAACATAATATATACGTAGTTCTAAGATATTATAAAGATACGCGTTCTACGATATCTTATTATATAGTGTAAAAATACTACTTTATTATTCGCTTTGTATATAACATAATCAATATATTTTTAAAATGATACCAACTAATTATCATGTACAGAAACGCAAAACATCTAATCCATTATTATTTATTAACTAACAGTATCAATAACATAAAATTAAATATAATATTAATACGTATCAAAAAAAAACATTATTACGAAATATATATATAAATATGAATATTTATAATCACTGAATAATAAAAATTATAATTACCAAAGCTAGTAAGGTTATCACACTGCGACTCATGTCTTGATCTCTCGATAATTCAAATAAAGTAACTTAACGACGCCGTATGTACCTAATAAACGTTTTTTTCCTCAATCAAATACCTCTTTAGTCACGTAATTGTGTGACATATCTTAAATATACTACTGATCAAATTAGCTGCAGATGTCAGCTATCTAGATCTACGAAGATAGCTTGTGTGGGCAATAGCAATCATTAAGAGAATTAATTTTTTTTTTTGCTTATAGGTGTGGACGAGCTCACAGCTCACCTGGTGTTAAGTGGTCACTGGAGCCCATAGACATCCACAACGTAAATGCGACACCCACCTTGAGATACAGGTTCTAAAGTCTCAAGTATAGTTACAACGGCTACCCCACCCTTCAAATCGAACCGCATTACTGCTTCACGGCAGAAATAGGCAGGGTGGTGGTACCCACCCGCGCGGACTCACAAGAGGTCCTACCACCAAATTTATTTTAGTACTAGCGACCCGCCTTCGCTTCGCTTCGGAAACTGTAATTTATTATTGATTTCTCCACTATTTAATGGATGTTATTATACATATAAACCTTCCTCTTTAATCACTCTATCTAAACCGCATCAAAATCCGTTGCGTAGTTGTAAAGATTTAAGCATACATAGGGACAGACAGATACAGGGACAGAGAAAGCGACTTTGTTTTATACTATGTAGTGATAATGTAAATTGTAATGATAACATTCTTATTCTACATGTCCACCAAGATGCTAAGGAAACCGGTTTTATGGATTCGCAGACACAAGATGCCACCTTCTGTAAATATATGCAGGACGGTGAACCAAAAAAAATATCAATTTAAACAGAACACACTCTCTGAGACGATAAAAAGTTGTTCGCTTTATCACTCAATTAAATCTAAATACACCAACTTTAATTTAGGCTTTGCTCGGCGTATCAGACTTTATTTGTAATATAAGAAGTTATTTTATTATTGGGAAAGGTGATTGACATTTGGAGTACCAGCCCATAAACTTGATAATTACAGTGCATTTCCGATAACGCGGTACGAGTACAATTACGAATATTTTTTCGGAAACAGTTCACGATAGGACGAGGTATAAATTGCACAGGTACTTCTTTTCCTTCAAAAATTCTTCAACTAATTACGAAGATGAGGACTCAGGTAGCAGTATTTTATACTTAAAAATGTCTATTAAAATTTATAAAAAATATGAGTGCTATTTATCTACTGATTGCTTTCTACTCCATCCTAACCAAATTAATATTAATATTAGAACAAATTAATATTCATAACTAGCTGACCCGGCAGACTTCGTAGTGCCTCAATCGAGAAATACCTAAACTTTTGTATAAAATAAACTTAAAACAAACAAAAGGAATCCGTCCGACGGGGGACACAGCAAATTGTAATTTTTATTTAATTCCGAGCATTTTCATATTTATCTTTACCTTTTAAACCTTCTCTGGACTTTCACAAATTATTTAAGACCAAAATTAGTCAAATCGGTCCAGCCGTTCTCGAGTTTTAGCGAGACTAACGAACAGCAATTCATTTATATATTCATATATATAGATAACTCCCCAAAGAAGCCGCTAACAATGTGGACCACTGAAAAAATCTTAACCTGCATTCTACCTCCCTTCTCACTATAATAGTTTCCATAATTTCCAAACATTATTTGTGTCTCGTACAATATAGCTCTAGAATAAATTCTTCTCCTTGACTTTGTCTTTCTTGAAGACTGAAGGTTGAAATTCAAATAATAGATGATTAATAATAAAATAATAATAATAAATGATCGACTTTGCCACTACAGTGGATAGTGTATCACGTTTGTTATTTGTGACGTCACTGCGTGTATTCTCAAATAAGATAATCATTAATGTTTTATCATAACTTTTATTATTACTCAATCAATAATTATTTAACTTTTACTAAGTTACATTAATAAATTGTTAGGTACCTAAAAAAATACAAAAAGGCTTAAACATGTTTTATTGATGTTTCAGATATTTGTGTTAATATTTGTTGTCGGTTTGATCATTCCACACAATGGTCTGCCTGCTGAGGAAACTAATGACGCTTCTGATACTTCATCGCAACCAACACCTGAAGAGGATGGACATGCAGGGGAAGGTACAACAGAGGGCAACACTCACGGTGGTGTTATGGATAATTTGGGACAAGTTTTAGACGGCAACGGTCTGGTGCACTGGTTTGAAGATGTTTCATCGTGGCTTAATAGATTTCCAAATATATTACAGGCTTCTAAAAAATAATGTGCTTCGTACATGTTTATGGCTATTATCATTATTTAAACGAACAAAGTACGACATTCAATTTTTTATTTAATAAATCAATGCAATTAGTACATGTATTTGCCTATGAATTATCACATTCACCTGCGCTGAAAAAATCTGACAAAAATACATCAATTATAATCGATTACTATTTACCGAAATAATGGACCGTAAGTTGGTTTGACCTTTGCCATTGATAAGCTTACAAGCTATTTAAAAACGGAACATCGAAAATTATTGTATTTTTTTGTAATAGGAATAATGGATTCTTAAAGTTTAACAGTTAATTTTATTTATTTGATTTCGAATAAAGAAAAATAACACAACACATTTATTGTGAAACAGAATAAATCTACTTAATCTCGCTTTTTTTTCTAATTATTTATTACCCTTCATTTGTTTATTTACATCGGCGGACTTAATGCCTACAGCATTCTCTCCCAGTTAACCAAAGGTAGTGTAGAGTAAATAATGGTAGATAGACACATACAAACATACAAACATAATAATGCATACCTACTATACATAAGTAATATATAATAACAGTTTATACAATATTCAAAGGAATATATTAACAAAAACTTAACAAATTCCGCTAACTTTTCCAACAGCATTCGCCGAACCCTTAACTTATTATATTTTCCTCGAGGTCAGTGGTCNAAAGGTAGTGTAGAGTAAATAATGGTAGATAGACACATACAAACATACAAACATAATAATGCATACCTACTATACATAAGTAATATATAATAACAGTTTATACAATATTCAAAGGAATATATTAACAAAAACTTAACAAATTCCGCTAACTTTTCCAACAGCATTCGCCGAACCCTTAACTTATTATATTTTCCTCGAGTTCAGTGGTCGACTCACTGAATTTCCAGCCCGAGATCAGAGAAAGATGCCTCACTTCTGCCACTACTGAAATGCGAGTTACCTGAACACCCTCCTTTTTTTTTATTATTGCCCTTGTAGACAATCGAGCATACGGCCCACCTGATGGTGAGTGGTTACCGTCGCCCATGGACTTCAGCAATGCCAGGGGCAGAGCCAAGCCGCTGCCTACCGCTTAATACTCTCCACAAGCCTCGTTTGAAGAAGGACATGTCATAGCGCTCGGGAAACACCGTGGAGGGGAGCTCATTCCATAGCCGGATGGTACGTGACAAAAAATACCTCTGGAAACGCACTGTGGATGACCGCAGTGGCTCCAGGTAGTATGGATGAACTCTACTCCGGTGGCGGGCGGTGCGATGGTAAAAACGAGATGCCGGTATCATCTCGAATAATTCCTCAGAGCACTCCCCATGGAACATACGGTACAAAATACAGAGGGAACCGAAGTCCCTCCGCAGACCCAGAGGTTTAACTCCTAATTTAAATCAATAATTTATCCTTAAATTTGCATATTATAAAATTTAAACATCCAAAATATGTTGAAACCTAATAGATTTTGAGAAAATTAACTTACGTCGCTTAGCGAAATCGCTTACAAAGACTTAATTAATAACTATAACAAGTAATCATAACCATTTGCTGATCCAAGTATAATTTCAATAATTTGATATCTCATGAGTTTCGCGGGCATCGTGGTAGGTATTACAACAAACGTCACAAACAAACCATCGAATTTTATTAATACGATACGATAATTGATCAACTTGTTGGACAACAAAAGTGGCGAATGAAAGGCGATTGCACGCAGCAGAGATGCGAATGTTGCGATGGATGTGTGGAGTAACGAGAATGGATAGAATACGGAATGAATATGTTAGAGGAAGTCAGAAAGTGGCACCTGTGACAGAGAAGCTGAGGAGTGCGCGTTTGAGATGGTATGGACATGTGATGAGACGAAATGAAAATGAGGTTGGTAAGAGAGTGTTAACTATGAATGTGGAAGGATATAGAGGAAGAGGTAGACCTAAGAAGAAATGGATGGATTGTGTGAAAGACGATATGGGTAAGAGGGGAGTGAGCGAAGAAATGGTATATGATAGAAGAGTATGGATGGAGAAAACATGTTGCGCCGACCCCAGGTGACTGGGAGAAGGGCAGGAAATGATGATTCCGTTGTATCAGTAATACACACTGCCTGACATTGTCCATCCAGTAGAATAGAATTAGATTTTCATGCAAATTTAACATTGTTTTTTCCATTATTAGGGTCACAACCGCCATCTGTCAAAGACACTAAGTAATTAACTGTGTTCTTTAGGTCATGGAAATAACACTTAAATTCACAGTCATATCTTGAAATATGTACATAACAACATTGTTATGAGAAAAATATACTCAACAAGTATACACAAACGGCAGGGAATTTCCAAAATAATGTAGGTTAGCATTCTTCACAAACTTTGTATTTTAGTGCTTTGAAAATATGGAAAATAATATGAAAACCAAATTTAGATGTACGTACCTACTTAGAACAAGAAATTTGTAGTGATCGAACTTAAATTTTGATTAAATTATTTATCAAATCCGGTACACAGAAAGCATCTGTTTCGCAATACTGTTTTGTATGTTAATTCAAAAATTCATAAAGGATTTGTTATTTCCAATGCCTACTTTACAAAAACGTAATTAATCCAAATGCCAAAATGCTTTTGATATCATTCAGGGTGCAACATTCCCGATCCTGCGGAAAGAATGGAAAGCAGTCGACGTCGCCCAAAACACGTCATTTCGGATCCTCCCGATCCACTAACAGTGCTTTTAGGTACTTCAAGCACCGGTCACCGTTCTCGTTGAACCCGTCGCTTGCGACGAAGGGCTCGACTAGTAAATTGACCCTCAGACACAGCCCACTGAGTTTCTCGCCAGATCTTCTCAGTGGGTCGCGTTTCCGATCCGCTGGTAGATTCTGCGAAGCACGGCTCTTGCTAGGGTTCGATTTAGCAACGTCGTCAGGTTTGAGCCCCGTGAGCTCACCTACTAGTTAAGGTTACGCTGTAATAGCCTCTCAAGGCTACCAGCTTAGGTAGGAAAAAAAAAGGGTGCAATATGTAAATGCGATGTAATCCAAATTTACTAAATTGTTCACAAGACATGCTCTGACAGACTTAAATATTTTTTATGAATACTATGCTTAACCCTAATATTAATAATAAACTGCAACAATGTTAAAAATATAAAACAGCTTTAGACTACACGATTAATACAATGTAACTTATATTTCCAACGATAGTTTTAGGTTAATTACACGAAAATTCACTATTTAAGTCTTGCTGCCTTTAATGAAGGTTCACTTGACAAATTTAAATAGTAGGTAATGCACAGACATGGTACACAAAATTGCAGTATTATTATTACTGAGTTTTGTAAAAGCTGATTTTAAGCAGAGTTGGAAAGATAATCGGTGGCGGCCAATTATCGCACATTACCTTAATGGAAAAGTTCAAGGCAATGAACAGGTTTATTGCGAAAAATATTACAAACCACACGTTACTAGTTATGTTCCTGCGATTTACACTTTACCCCGCCCCGGATATGGAAATATGATAAATAATTATCCAGAAAACAATATCTATTTCAATAAAAAACAAGAAAAACCCGCAAACGACTACTTTAAGCAATGGTAAAAGTTTTTAATTACTATCAATTAAGATTACTAGAAAAAGATAATGTATTGTAAGTTAATTATGTAACATCAATGTCATCTAAGTATTAGATAACCAATATGTTTTTATAGAAAATGGAGAATAAATATCATGTATACAAAACATTTTTTATGAATACATTTTCTGGTAGCAATTACACATGTTAATATTCAGCTATTTTACACGTTCAGGCGTTACACAATAAAACCAATTTTAGTATAATCATTCATTAGCTAAAACTAGTTTAGTCTAATTAAATTCTATTAAAACGTTCTTTATAATTTTAGTTGTTGGTGCAATGGCACATTTGAACATTTGGGGATTATGAACTATTAGACTACTTACGATTTCGAGTTAAGAATAAAGAATCTAATATGTTATGAAATTCCCGACGGTTTTCTAGAATAACTTCTGAACGATCCGAATTTAATGATATTTTTCAGAATGTGTGCTTTATTTCAACCTTAGAAATAATATTTTTTTTTAATTTGTAATGACCATCTTTTCGTTATAATTTTTTTATTTGTTGACAAAGGATTTTTTTGTGAACTCTTTAAGCTTCTAACAGATGGCGGTGTAAATTAGCTTATCAATTGGGGAAGCTATCTAATAGATGGCACTGTATTCAAAATCTTAACATTTCATTTGTACTAAATTAGTAAATAAATGTTTTTTCAATCGCTCGCGGCTAATTCCTTTCCTCAGATAATTCTTGTCCACCGGATAGGAGGGTTCGCTCTTGGTTCGCTCTATAAGACCACCCAAGTACATTACTTTTACAATAAAATGTTTTGAATTTGTGTTTTTTTTTCTATTTTATTGATCTACGGACCAATTAATTAATGAATTTATATTAATAAATTAATTGAATGGGCTAAGATTTAGGCAATTGTACTTGATATTGGCCGTAACTTAAGAATTTTAATAAACACTTAGGTTTAGTGTAAACATCTTTATTCTATGTATTCATTTCCAACCTTCATGATACTGGAAATAATTGATATTCTGAGTTATTCCAATATTTAATTGCATGTTGATTTCCTTATTTACCACTGTACAGGTCTACCTGTACTGTAATAGTCTACTATTAAAATTTTAATTAAAATATTGACTGGTATTATATTGTAGTAAAATCGTGGCTTCTTCAACTCCGAGGACGTAGTTTGTTGCAGCATAAAGGCTGGTATAGTAAGCGGCACGTAAGTTGGCAAGGTTTTGGTGTAGTGGGGATAATGTAGCGCATAGTGCACATTGCAACAAAAAAATGGTCACTTTTATTGCCCGCATATAATTTAATTGAATTTTTTTATTTTTTTTATTTGCCATAATTTATGTTTAAGCCTGTGTGTTTAGAAGAAAGTTAAAGAAAAGAGAAGAATTCGTGAAGTGCATTAGGTGTTATAAACAAAATACAATTAAAAGTTAAGAGGTTTATTTAAAAAAATATACTTAGTATTAAAAATTATGTGTCGCCGTCGTCACTATCATTTTCTAATAGTGCTACCCCTTGGATTAAATTTATGGTAGCACCTGAGCTGGTGGAAGGAGTTGGCTCCTCATCGTCGACATAACGAAGATTCGTTGTCGTCACTGGCGTAAATAATAAAACGCTCAGTGACTGAATCGACTATGTGGTCATTGGTATTTGGTCCTGGCATTGCATCAAACTTAAAACAATAACACTCGTAACAAAAACTAAATTTAAAACAATAATAACAACTTGTAACAAAAACTCAATATAAACAAAGCGTTCCTACAGCTTTAGTAGGCGCATGTGTAACCGGGAGGGAACGGAACGTGGACGCTGTGCGGGAGGGGAGGGTCGACTGACTCACCAATCGCGCGCTCGGAACGGTGCTATGTCTTTCCCCGCATCCGCTTGACAACCAAAGATACCTAAAAAATGACTTCTGCACATCTAACAACTCTTGCCAAGATACCTGCCGGGGACTATACAGTAGTTACACCAAAAAGTTGAGGTTTCAACCATATATATTTTATGTAGCGGCAACCATATCCCAATGGTTATGTCTATTATGACTGTCTGGTAATCAATTAATACTAGATTGGGCGTGAGCTCAACTATCTCTAGCAACTAATTAGTTGCTGTTATTGCTACAGCTTTTGATTTTTTTAAAAGGCTTGGATTCTTCGGTTGACAGCAGCGTATAGACATCTCGCGTTGTGACTCTTGTCGGTATGGAAACCCGGTCAATTCCACGCATACAACTTTGTGATCTCCGTATAAAACTCAAGAGCCATTTTGCCCCAACCACTGTTGCCCTACAGCGGACCTCCTCAAATCTAGTTAATAATTTAAAGAAACCCTAAATATAGCAAACTTAGCAATTCTTACACATCTTCTTTGTCTTCTTTGTTGTATCAATTTTGTCAGAGCTGTCGTGTCTTGGCGGTTCTTTACACGAGTATACCAAGCTTCTCACCATAAACCGGGAGAAGTGGCGATTGCTGGTGAGGCACATAACATCTGCCCATAGCAATGATAATTAATGACGCTTATACAAACACAATACAAATATAGAAATTTTTTTTATTGCCCTTGTAGGCAAACGAGCATACGGCCCACCTGATGGTGAGTGGTTACCGTCGCCCATGGACTTCAGCAATGCCAGGGGCAGAGCCAAGCCGCTGCCTACCGCTTAATACTCTCCACAAGCCTCGTTTGAAGAAGGACATGTCATAGCGCTCGGGAAACACCGTGGAGGGGAGCTCATTCTATAGCCGGATGGTACGTGGCAAAAAAGTCCTCTGGAAACGCACTGTCGATGACCGCAGTGGCTCCAGGTAGTATGGATGAACTCTACTCCGGTGGCGGGCGGTGCGATGGTTTTATTATGAGATTAACGTAAGAAACCGCGTCTCAGTTTTGGAACTAGCCGAACAATTAAATTAATGAATCTATTGTAGGCAACAACAACAAAAAATACGAGTGGGCTTTTTTGCTCGTACACTGTTCATTTACCTTACCAACAAACGGAATATACGTAATTAGGTTTTTAACTTCACGGAACATAAAATATAATTGTAAAATTTTCATAAAATCACCATATTTGAACGAAAACAATGAAGTAAGGCAAATATATTTTTAAAACTGGTACCGGTTTACTGGTGGTAAGACCTCTTGTGAGTCCGCTCGGGTAGGTGCCACCACCCTGCCTATTTCTGCCGTGAGGCAGTAATGCGTTTCGGATTGAAGGGTGGGGCAGCCGTTGTAACTATACTGAGACCTTAGAACTTATATCTCAAGGTGGCTGGCGCATTTACGTTGTAGTTGTCCATTGGCTCCAGTAACTACTTAACACCAGGTGGGCTGTGAGCTCGTCCACTCATCTAAGCAAAAAAAAAGCGCTAGTAATGCCTATACACTGGCCATTGGAAGGCCATTGCTGAATGTACGAAAATCAGTAGTTTGTTAAAACTGCCGCAGGCCATTGATATTATTTTGTTTGATCGTACTGTGATGAAAACCTTAATTCTACTTCTCATTTGTTTTTTCCTGCCTATTCTAGTGACCTCAAGACGTCATATCATCATCGAGCGAGGATAATGAATGAATGAATGAATGAATGAATGAATGAATGAATGAATGAATGAATGATTTATTTTATTTCAGACAACAATAAGTCCATATGTGTATATAGTATCATTGAAACATACTTAAAATTAACAAAGCCAATCAAATAAAAAAGATACATTTATTAAAAATAATTATCAGTATAATACATTTCAAATATTCCATTCCACTTCGAACCAACCATTATTATTATTGTTTAGTCCGCAAGTGAACCATGGTACAATGGTTCAAGTACCGACTTGAATCATTGTATACCTACAACAACTGTACGACGCATTAATATAGATAAACACTCGGAAAAATCGAAATACGTATCATCACAGACTCGATTCATCGTATTAGTTTTATTTAAAACAAACTCTCTACAAGACTAATACATTAAAGCTAAATGAAAAGCAAAATACATATCACATTTCCATAAACCAAATCCTTTCTCAGAGCTTTGGACAAATACATATTTCTTTGTTGTTGCTGTAGCTTGCAAGCTGTGTGCTTGTTTTGAGGTTACGGTTTTCAAAAATATTCCGATAAGACAAAAGTGATTGCAAAATTGGTTATTTCATTTTTCAATCAGACTCAAAGAAACCACCTTTCATACTGAGACACGACATTGCGGCAAAAATAAACAGGATGATAATGGTATCCGGATATACATCGTACTTTTGAAGTCGTCGTGGCTTAACGGATAAGACGTCCGGTGCATTCGTGTTGAAGCGATGCTGCACCGGTGTTCGAATCCCGCAGGCGGGTACCAATTTTTCTAATGAAATACGTACTCAACAAATGTTCACGATTGACTTCCACGGTGAAGGAATAACATCGTGTAATAAAAATGAAACCCGCAAAATTCTAATTTGCGTAATTACTGCTGGTAGGACCTCTTGTGAGTCCGCGTGGGTGGGTACCACCACCCTGCCTATTTCTGCCGTGAAGCAGTAATGCGTTTCGGTTTGAAGGGTGGGGCAGCCGTTGTAACTATACATGAGACCTTAGAACTTGTATCTCAAGGTGGGTGGCGCATTTACGTTGTGGATGTCTATGGGCTCCAGTAACCACTTAACACCAGGTGGGCTGTGATCTCGTCCACCCATCTAAGCAACAAAAAAAAAAAAAACTTACCGTATACTATACGTAATAGACGCATTCAGCTGCCTGCAACAAGAAGCCTCTCGGATTGGCCTTCGTGTCAGCCACGAGAAGACAGAGTATCTTCACATGCGTCGATACAAAAACATAAGAAAGAAGTGAGAAGACCTAGTTGCGGGAAATACGAAGTATAAAGGAGTGGCCCAATTCCGATACCTTTGCTGCACTGTAACGAGACAGTACGGAAGACGAGATCGAAATACGTGTACAACATACCCGACGATGCAGTGCAGCCCTACATCCGGTTCTCTCTTCGAAGTTACTAAGCAGGCGCACCAAGTTTCGGATATACAAGACTATAGACAGACCGATCTTATTGTATAGATGTGAAGCATGGACGCTTACACAGAAAGAAGAGACAAAACTTCTCGTGACGGAGCGAAAGGTACTGCGAAAAATACTAAGACGGTTCGGTTAACGGATAACGGTTCTTGGCACGTCCGGAAAAACAAGGATGTGGACAGACTTTTTGGTGAGCCAAATATTCTGGGGGCTCGCATGGCTCGGGCATATAGTGCGTATGGAGCAGGATCGAGCTGTAAGACGGGTGTACGCTGGTGTACCGGAGGGACGCCGCCCGTAGGAGGCCTAAGTACCGCTAGTCTGACGCTGTGGAAGGAAATTTACGTGAGCTCCAAATGTCGGACTGACAAGGTGTTGCGAAGCGCCGCGGCGCCGGGGTGAATAGCAAAGCTTATTGTCGGAGGCCAAGACTCACTTCGGGGTCATAGCGCCAGCGCAGTAGTAGGAAAGTTCGTTTGTCTACAAATGTAATAATAGAAATAGGTATAAACACTATGTTAAAACCGTATACATTTTGTTATATTATTCGTTGATGCAACGAATAATTCACCTGCATATGTCAAATTATTCCAAATTAGACGATGACCGAGCCTTGTTCGGTTTTTTTTTTGATAGCGCCATCTTGCTGTGTCTATAAAGGGGTTAGTTGCCCTCAATTAAGAAAAATAGTATTATTATTCGCCAATAGATGTCGAGAAGAGTTGATTATTGAAAACACGAATGAAACAATATTTTCTGAAAATAAATCGTAGCTAGATCGATTTATCACCTCCGAAATCCCCTGTATACTAAATTTTATGAAAATCGTTGTAGCCGTTTCCGAGATTCAGATTATATACATATATATACAAGAATTGCTCGTTTAAAGGTATAAGATACAGATGCGAATTCGGGTCTTGTTTGGACTTTATTGAACAATATCTAATCGGCTTTAATCGAACGACTTCTACTAAAATTATTTTCTTATTGAAGTTACATATTACTCGATGTCCTTGAATGACGTTAACAACTTAATATTTGAAGAAGCCTGCTCATCTGCCTGAGTTGACGTTAAAACTAAATATGTCCGAAACTTATTTAGTGATTTTGAGAAACGCCATCATTTAAACTAATAATTAACATATCAACAGTGAAAAATACAGTAAACATAGTACCTTCTGGTATATAAGCTGAGTTTTTTTTAGATATGACACAGTTTAAGCCTTCTTCAAACGAATCGATCGATTAAATATGATGGCATCAAAGGTATGTACTATTTTTGTCCTTATTGAAAGCTATTTTTCACTATACGGCTTATAATTTAAAAAATCGTATTCAAACTTAAAAGATCAGAACAATCGAACGACGAACAAATATTTGGAAAAAAATAAACTTAATTGAATGATCACGAATCTCAGTAGGAAGTAATTTACCACAAACTATTAAATTAATTTTCAATCCGTATTGTCTATATCCACATATTAGGCATTTTTTATATTTTTATTTATTTTATTTTCCTACCCTTTAAACCTTATATTTATTAGCAATGTTTTATTTTCACAAGAGCACTGCGATTATAAAATGCAAACTAAATAACACCAGCGTACTGACGATACATGCGCACATTTAAAATTTGGGAACTGTTTTCAGATTTTGTTTATCTGCGCTCTTGTGCTAGCTGCCATGATTAGCACAACCATAGCTCAAGGTGGCTTCGGCAGTAGCAAGGGTGGATTTGATGGACGGGGTGGGCGTGGGCAGGGTGGTTTCGGTGGTCAAGGTGGTTTCGGCGGTCAGAGCGGGCGTGGCCAGGGTGGATTTGGTGGACAGGGTGGGCGTGGCCAGGGTGGTTTCGGTGGTCAGGGCGGGCGTGACCAGGGTGGTTTTGGCGGTCAAGGAGGATTCGGTGGCAACCAAGGTGGTTTTGGTGGTCAAAGAGGATTCGGTGGCAACCAAGGTGGTTTTGGTGGTCAAAGAGGATTCGGTAGCAACCAAGGAGGTTTTGGTAGACAAGGTGGCTTCGGTAGGAATTAAGATAAATTCCCGGCGTCCGTATAATAAATCAAAAATAGCACCACCACATATTGCACAATGAGAATAAAATCAAATCGATTCAAATTTAATAAAAAAAACCTAAATATAAGTCTAACTTAAAATGTCATAAATAGCAATTTTTCGTTTAAACAAAAGATCATAATCTTACTAATATCTTAGTGTCTTAAAACAGATATTACCTAAAATGTCGAACATGTAAGCACTCTTACTTTAGAAGTCCTTTCACTTTGTGATAAACAAACCATCGTCATACTTAGTAGTCTTACTTACACTTTTACTATTATTTTGTGATATTAACTGTGCCTGATATATGTACGTACTATTTACTGTCACTTTTACTATTATTATTAAACAAAACATTCTATCCAATTTCTTGTTTTAATTATTATTAAAGAAAGGTCAAAAAGTATAAAGATCTGAACTGATATGTATTCAAGCCTAAAAAAATACCTATGATAAAAATTTAACAAGTTAGAAATTCTTCCTATCGTCACAATCTTACTAAATACAGGTAACTCTCGATTTTATTTTTATCACAATTCCAGCAAATGAAAAACTGTCGCCAATGCTTTTAATAATGCACAACTTAACACAAAACGAAGTGACAGTCAACATTCAAAAATCAATTTTTATGTACTTTGCAGATTTTTCTATTTAATTTAATTAATTTAACCTTCAATCTAAAATTAAAATTAGACATCAATGTATAATTAAATTATTTCATCAAAACAAAACATACAGTGTTGTCGATACCCGTAGAAGGCGACTTAAGTATACAATGGTAAAACCACGCTAAATCTAGCATCTTCGTGTTTATGTATCAAATTATTAGTCGACGCTTCTCAAAGTTACGGATAAGATAATTATAAAATTTTCCGATGACATTACAGTGCTTGACAAGTTGAATTGAACACTAAATAGTATTTACGTACTTAAAACACTCACACATTAACATTTAGTTATTATTTTTCAAATAATGCAGATGCAGAAGTCTATTGGCAATACAGTAATAATTTGAATGCCATTCGTAACTTATTTATTCGAGGATTTAAACATAATCACTAAAAAATAAAAACTTTATGTACCATTTTTACATAGTAACTATTACTTACTATCACTTTCATCATCACTTCCGTGGCCTTTTATGCCAAGCCGAAAAAAAACACAATAAAACCCATTTGAATAAGCTGAAGAGGTCATGGCAACATTTATTAAGATCGTTGTAAAAAGTTTAAGAATAACCGGCCTTTAGGTTTTTTTTCTCGGAAACTGGATATAATCTGTAATTTCCCAAATACGCATATACTACATAGGGGCTTCAGCAGTCAATATATAAACAGATTGAATACGCAGACACTACCAGGTTATCTTCACGTGTAGTTGAGAACATTGATTTAATAATGGCAATTAACAAAGTGAGTAAATTTATATTCACATATTAATCGAATTTCCCTTGAAGTTTATTTGTATTTTTTTTTAAATTATAATATTATTATTTTCATATAGCACCAAAAACAAATACTTACATTTTAAGTTTAGTATTTTTCAAAATGATTATATTAATATTTTCATGTAGCACCAAAAACAAATATTTACATTAGCGGAATGATAGCGGATGTTCGAAACATTTTATTTAATAATTTATTTCCATTTATTCCTAAGACTACTATTACGAGCATTATTTGATTTATTCGTTGAAAGAAAAATAGAAGTGAGTGGAATAAAAATGTAAATATCTAAATCATCTAAATCAAAAACAAAACTTTTGCTACGGAAGCCATGCACACACTGCACAATAAAATATATGAACTGGTGGTAGGACCTCTTGTGAGTCCGCGCGGGTAGGTACAACCGCCCTGCCTATTTCTGCCGTGAAACAGTAATGCGTTTCGGTTTGAAGGGTGAGGCAGCCGTTGTAACTATACTTGAGTGAGACCTTAGAACTTATATCTCAAGGTGGGTGGCGCAATTACTTTGTAGATGTCTATGGCCTCCAGTAACCACTTAACACCAGGTGGGCTGTGAGCTCGTCCACCCATTCTAGCAATAAAAAATAAAATAAAACAAACAAACAAAATTATGTTTCAGAGCATCCTTGTTTTTGTCGTTTTGGCGATTACATTGGCGCTAGTCTCTGGCCAGTTTGGAGGACCAGGTGGTTATGGTGGATTCGGCGGTGGCAGACCTGGTTTTGGTGGGGGATTTGGCGGCAGAGGGCCTGGCTTCGGTGGAGGATTCGGTCAAGGCTTCGGCGGCTATGGACCTAGAGGATTCGGAAATGGAGGATACGGAGGATTTGGTGGATTCGGAGGCGGCTTCGGACCGGGCTTTGGAGGATACGGACGCTAATAATGACACAATCCTATCATAGCAAACAAACTATTATAAAAGTTTATTGAATTCCATTTCATACAGTTGGATCAGAAAATTGATTTAAAGTTACACGCGCATTAGCTAGGAATTGTGAAAAGAGCTGCAAGAATAAATTACTAAAGTACAACGCTAATTTTGATCCTCTAACAATTGAATTATTTTCCAGTAATGGATCAACGTTTGGATTCTCTTTTGGTACACTTGGTATATTTGGTGGAAGTTCATTTTCTACAACTGGAGCAACAGCCGGAAATGCAGGACGTTCCACCAGATTTAAATAGTTATTCACTGGAACCGCACGTGATATATCTGTGTAGAATCCAGAAGGCCCTTTTTCCTCTTTTGTTGTGGGTATTATCTCAAAATTTGATGATAAAGGTGGTTCTAAAGGAACAGGAACAACAGCTGAAGACATAGTTTCAATACTGTCATCAATTGGCAGTCTTGAAACGTCTTCATTTATTAAAATGGTTTTCATTGGCCCAGCCGGTGTTGGAGGTAAAGGAGTGATGGTGGGCATTGGCGGTGGTTGTAACGAAGTCTTCATAGTCACTATTGGCTCCTCTTCTTCAATCAATTCTCTCTTCTGTATAGCGTGTTTAACTCCAAATATACCAAAAGGGGACCATTTCTCTGTTATGAATGACAACGGCTTCTTAGGCAAAGGTATAAATGAGATATCAAATCCTTTTTTGATACTTATTCCTTTAAATAACGGCTTCCCGATTGTAATGAAATAACACTGAATGACAAAATAGGACACCAGAATCTGCAAAGAATCTAAAATTAGGTTTACGAACAATATAATGCGAGAATGTGTATAGATTTTTGAATAAAAATATTAGTACCTGATACAGTTTTGACATGCTGCTAGCACAACTGAAGTTCAATTAAAGAAGTAGCCCTTTGGCGATCACTATAAATAATCTATGAAATAAATGCAACCGGCAATTTAAGATCTTAGAACAATTAAATGACCTCAAAATCCAGCACGCTATGGTTTTTCATGGCACGGATACTTACCTTGTTTCAAGTTTAACAATACTGTGATGACATCATTTAGTACAATAATTATATTGTAATGCTATATAAAAACAATAAGGTATTTAAAAAATGCAAATAATAATCTGTTAACTAGATTTAACTGTGGGCTGGACACATTACTCGTAGAACGGATGGCCTTTGGGGCTAGAAAGTTCTTGAGTGCCGACCGCGTACCGGAAGACGTAGCGTGGGTAGGCCTCCCACAAGATGGCCCGACGATCTATTGAGGTTCGCGGGGATCCGCTGGATGCAGGCAGCGCAGGACCGGTCTTTGTGGCGAGGTTTGGGGGAGGCCTATGTCCAGCAGTGGACGTCTCTGGGCTGATAAGAAGAACTAGAAAAATAGGGTGAAATTTGTAATACTTTGCGTCTCTAACATTATTCCACTTTACATTGTCTCGAGAAACTCGGCGTTCATTACAGACTAATAATAAATACAGACGATGGCTGCATACAAAAAATATCGAAAGCCATCACCTATATTTCGATTACGAACTGAATAATGAATGAGAGGAAAATTGTGTTTGTTTCATTTAAATTTTAGCTATATACACTTCAAATTCTATTTTTCTCATTTTAGGTGACCTTGAAACAAATCCTTAAGAAAATACGGTCGTCTAAATGTTGGTAGGGCGTCTTCTGAGCCCGTACGGGTAGGTTAGGTAGGGCTTCGCTTCTCTCTGTATTTGGTACCGTATGTTCCATGGAGAGTGCTCTGAGGAATTGTTTGAGATGATTCCATCTTCTCGTTTTTACCACCGCACCGCTCGCCACCGGAGTAGAGTTCATCCATACTACCTGGAGCCAGTGCATTCATCCATAGTGCGTTTCCAGAGATCTATTTTGCCACGTACCATCTGGCTTTGGAATCAGCTCTCCTCCACTGTGTTTCCCGACCTGATGGTGAGTGATTACCGTCGCCCATGGACTTCTGCAATGCCAGGGGCACAGCCAAGCCGCTGCCTACCGGAGCCTCGTTTCAAGAAAGACATGTCAATACTCTTTAGTCAATACTACTCTTTACTTACTCTTTGGTTAATATAAATACACTACAATACGATGTACTGTGGTCAGTATTTCAGGTTTGTTGTGGGATTCCTAAATAAATTTACAAGAACGCATGAAGCAGCATTTTATGTGAAAAGTAGGGGATGTATTGGCAGCTCGCGGGCTAGGCACAACGGTTAATACTATTTTGTCCCAAAGCTATCATGTATACTAATTTAAAATGGTAAGATATCCAATAATGCGTTACTATTTTCATATTTGGTCTCCAGTTGTTTTAACTTATTGCTTGCGAATATGAGCAGATTTTTTTTTATTGCTTAGATGTGTGGACGAGCTCACAGCCCACCTGGTGTTAAGTGGTTACTGGAGCCCATAGACATCTACAACGTAAATGCGCCACCCACCTTAAGATATAAGTTCTAAGGTCTCAAGTATAGTTAAACGGCTGCCCCACCCTTCAAACCGAAACGCATTACTGCTTCACGGCAGAAATAGACAGGGTAGTGGTACCCACACGCGCGGACTCACAAGAGGTTCTACCACCAGTAATTACGCAAATTATAATTTTGCGGGTTTCATTTTTATTACACGATGTTATTCCTTCACCGTGGAAATCAATCGTGAACATTTGTTTAGTACGTATTTCATTAGAAAAATTGATACCCGCCGAACACCGGTGCATCGCTCAACACGAATGCACCACAATGACTCAGATATTTTTTGAGAATCTCAACATTTACCTAAAGATCTTTTGTGTAAAGTGTGAGTCAGTAAGAACATTGATAATTCACTACAGTATGAAACTAATATCAACATAAGCTGTTTTATAGTAAATTGTTGACTAAAATGTTTATTATATATGTTTAAAAACTCGTGATCTTATTTATTGAAAATGTATGATTGTTTTCCGATTTTGAACACCCAATCCTTGAAAATAACTTTATTAAAAAAAATAGAAGGTCAATAGGTCAATCGAAACAATACATTCTTTTCGAATTACTGTTTTTCTGGGTGGCACTTAAAAAACGAGTTAATTTTTTATCGATTACAACCCAACCAACGTACGTAAGGTGAGTAACCTGTACAATAATCAACAACAATTTAATATGTTACGTAAATATAGACAGACATCATCGCATTTTTTTTTGTGTTTCCAAGAACGTGGTATACGCGTTAATTGCAATTTCAATAAATTATTTAAGAGAAAGTTCAGGTCAATATTGTTAGAAACTAAAAACGCTCAGAGACTTTCGTTGACACAACGCTCCTAACACGGGACAGCAAACAATATCGTAAATTAATTTGCATAATAATATGAATAATACTAATATTATAAACCTGAAGAGTTAGTTTGTTTGAACACGCTAATCTTAGGAACTACTGCTCCGATTTGAAAAATTATTTCAGTGTTAGATAGCCCATTTATCGAGGAAGGCTATATAACATCACGCTAAGACCAATATAAGCGGAGCACCAATAAATAATGTTTCCAAATCGGGGTTTTTTCCCCTTTTGAGAGCTTCCGCTGCGTGCGCTGCAGAAACGGTTAAAGTTTCACTAAAATAATGTATGACAGAAATGTTCCCCTTTAAAAGTTCTAAAAAAAGGCCGCGACAGCATATGTATATATGTTAAGGTTGACTCACTATAACGTTTTTTATGCTAACCAAATTTGTTCTAAAATAAAGCATTACTTGTGAACTATTCCACGCGGACGAAGTCGCGGGCAAAGGCTAGTGAATAATATTTGTATGCGTTGTCCGATTTATGTAATGAATCTATAAAGCTGATCACGGAAGGAATCGGCACTAATTCTTTGAGTCGAAAAAAATCATTCTGGAATTGTAATGAACTCCTTACTGCCGATAATGAATGAAAACTATAGTTACATAACGTCTGGACAAAGACTACGCTGCTAACTGTACAAGTTTCTGAGTCTGAGTAACGGTCGCCACTTAAGATAATCTCGTGTTCCTTCGACAGCTACAAGAGAAAATAATTAACTATGCGGAAATATTTACTTCCGTAAATAATAATGAAAATTAGTGTAGTGATAATATGAATTTGAGTTCGACGATTATATTTTTCTGATATTTTCGCACAGCACGCAATGTAACATGAAAATTATCAGATCACCGAATCGATCGTGAGCTTTTAGGTAGGTATTACCTAAAAATAAGGCATACTTGCCTGCGGTATTCAAACATCGTAATAATCCAATCGACCGACACAACGAAATCGGGCATCTTATCAAGTAATTGATTTATTTAAAAAATCTCACCATTATGGAGAATAATAAAAATTATAACCACAATTTACAATTCATCGACGATACATTATTAATAGTCGTCGTGGCCTAACGGATAAGACGTCCGGTGCATTCGTGTTGAAGCGATGCACCGGTGTTCGAATCCCGCAGGTGGGTACCAATTTTTCTAATGAAATACGTACTCAACAAATGTTCACGATTGACTTCCACGGTGAAGGAATAAACTCTATACTAATATTATAAAGAGGAAAGATTTGTTTGTTTGTTTGTTTCGAATAGGCTCCGAAACTACTGGACCGATTTGAAAAATTCTTTTTTCATTAGAAGCCGACATTGTCCCTGATGAACATAGGCTACTTTTTTTTAATTTTTTTTTATTTTATTTTTTTGGTTTCATGTGTATTTTAATGTTTCCGAAGCGAAGCGAGGGCGGGTCGCTAGTCGTGTAATAAAAATGAAACCCGCAAAATTATAATTTGCGTAATTACTGGTGGTAGGACCTCTTGTGAGTCCGCGCGGGTGGGTACCACCACCCTGCCTATTTCTGCCGTGAAGCAGTAATGCGTTTCGGTTTGAAGGGTGGGGCAGCCGTTGTAACTATACTTGAGACCTTAGAACTTGTATCTCAAGGTGGGTGGCGCATTTACGTTGTGGATGTCTATGGGCTCCAGTAACCACTTAACACCAGGTGGGCTGTGTGGTCGTCCACCCATCTAAGCAATAAAAAAAAAACCAAAAAAATTATACATATGATAATTAAGACATACAACCTTAATTTATAATAAAATTAAATATAGAATAACCACATTAAATAAACTAATATTTAGATAGGCAGCAGCTTGGTTCTTCCCCGGGCATTGCTGACGTCCATGGGCGACGGTAACTGCTCACCATCAGGTGTTCGTTTTCCAAGAAAAACTATAAAAAAAATTGGCAAAACAATGCTATAACACATAAGTATGATATAGAAATGTTAATCGGTAACACAAAAAAATTAAAGTGTGCATGATATTTTATTAAAAAACACACACAGATTCCAAGCAATTATACAGTGGGTAAAAGAGACCCAGTTACATAGTATTATGCCATAACCAATGGAAAGTAGTGTGGGGATAGCTTCCTCGAAGAAGCGACCAGCACAGTTAAGTGGAAGTGGTGACAAGTGACTGTCATTTCCGATATACCTTGCACGTAGCTTACAACATTTAAAAAGTGATAAAAAAGATTTTTAATAAACTCTTATTCCTTCAACAAAAATGTTAAAACTATAATTTTGTGATAAATAAGAAAGTTTTTTTTTTTCGGATGGGTAGACTATCGTACATTGCGCAGGCTTAAATTATTGGTTTCTTTTGAGGATTTTTTTGAAGGTAAGGCTAAGAACAATTTTCGAATATTTTGAACACAAACCTAGTTATATAATAATTTAGTACTGATATGATAATAAAATAATTAAAGCTTCTTCTACGAATGACGTCCCTGACCTCGAAAACTGTAAAAAATCGAAACGTTGCAAACGATATGACATTATTAAACGCGAAATTG